AGGGGGGCAGCAGGAAAGGAAGTGGCCCTCTCTTAGGGGGTCTCTGGATCTCGGGGGGGGGGGAGGGCCTGGGGCAAACCTCTCTGGTTTCCCAGATATATGAGGAGCGTCAGCATCCCCCGACCCCCGTGGCACAAAGCTTTCTGGCTGGCCAAGCTCTTCCCCCTTCACCTCGGAGCCTCCAGAAGGCAAGTGTTCCCTCACAGCAAGAGAAGCTGAGTCCAGAGATGTCACAGAGCTGTGGGATGAGGAGGCGCCCCGGCCTTGAGCCTTGGCTGCCGGTCACCACCCTTGCCGCTGCACTGACTGAGGCCATCTAAATGCAAGTCTGATGCTCAGCCCTGGGAGTTGGAGCTGGAGGTCAGACCAGCAACAGCTTGACTCACCAGCATCTCTGGAATATCAATAGGGGACACAGGGACACAGCGGGGAGATGAGGCTTTGGAACTTTTCGCCGTGCAAGGGACAGGACGTCCTCCAAGGAGCAGGCCTGACCCACCCGCCCCCACCCCTTCTTGTCACCACCAGAGAGGCCATGGCGTTCCCACCCAAGAGGCACGGGCCTGGATGTGCCCAGCGTGCTGGAGCCACCTACCGGAGAGGACCAGAACCAAATTCCCCAGGTGACCCCCTGGAGAGACCCCTGCCAGGAACTGACCTGTGTCCTTCCCGCCACATTCACCAGAAGTGGGGGAGCCTTCTGCTGGATTCAAATTCCATTCCTGCTATTTCCCAGCTGGGTGGCCTCAGGGGAGTTACTTAACCTCTCTGAGCCTCAGTTTTGCCATCCATATAATGGAGCTGTCTTGAGGGCTAGATGGGTTAACACCAACCAAGTGTGTAAAACAAGACCTGGTCCACGGGAGGACACCATAAATACTGCCTACTAATATCATCCATTCTCCTGTCGCCCACACGGGGAGCCTGGGCTGCTACTCCACACTTCCGTTTGACCTTAAGCAGGCCCCTTAACTTCCCTGAGCCTTCCTCTTCCTCATCCGTGAAATGGAGCACTGCTGCAAGTAAACCGAGGCTCACAGGGGGGCCCATGGGCAGAGAAAGGCTGTGAGGCTATAAAAGCTTACACCCCAGAGCCCCACCCTGAGAGGGCCCAGGACGGTGGTGGGAGGCACCGAGGGCAGGGCCACATCTGTCTGTACCACCCCCTCAAGCCTGTCTCTCCCTCCCTAGGTGACTCACTCGGCATTATCTCGGGAGCCCAGGTGGGGCCTGCGCTGCATGCCTAATCCCCGCACTGGTTGTACTCTGCCTTTCGGCCTTCCCCTCCGCAGCCGCAGCCTGGCAAGGAGGAGGGAGCCCTGGCGTTCAAAGCGGGGGAAATGCACAAGCGTGCACACGCACACGGGCCTGTCCCCGGACACTCCTACTGAGGCAGGCCTGCTGGTCACGTGCCCAGAAAATCACATATGTGCGCCCCTCACTCCCACACGTGTCCTGCCCTAGCTGCCTTGGGAGCTCACCTCGCTGCCCTGTCACCACGAGACCTGCTGTCCTGTAAGGCCCAGGCTGGCCTGGGCTCCTGTGGTTTTGTCATTAGCCCTGTCCCGGAACATGGCCTGCAGCTTCAGTCAGGGCCCCCACAGACCTTCCAGCTCGCCCCAGGCCTCCCTAGGAACGGTCAGGGAGCAGGGAGAGCCATAGCCCAGGCAGCCAGACCCCTGATAATGAACCTCTGATGTGTGTCCCAGAGCTCCCACAGCCATGGGCCAGAAGCACGTTTCGTTCTGGTTTACCCCCATTTCACAGATGAGAAAACCAAAACTGAGCAGCGGAATGACTTTCCAGGGCTCTCACGGCCAATAAGTGGCCAAGCCGGAGCCTGGGTCCGTCCGCCAGAACTGACCCGTTAACCACATGCTGCCACCCCTGTGATCCGGGCTGGGAGAGACGGACAGCATGGGGTTGAAGGGCATGGGTCTGACCGCCTGTCTCCAAGTCCTGCTCCAGCACCTCACTGTGTGAGCCTGGGCAAGCCACCTCACCCCTTTGAGCCTTAGTTCCCCCATCTGTAGAATGGGAACACAAACACCAGGCCCTCAGGGGCATCACCAGGATTCATGATTGTGGAGGGAGGGTGCCTGGCACGGGGCAGGGCTCAGTCAAGGGCCACAGGATGGCCCAGGCAGAGCACGGTGCTAATGGGGGCTGGGAAATTCGGGGCCAGGGCTTTCTTTATGCCCTGTGCCAATGGCCCAGTCAGCGCTGGGTGCTATGCGAGAGCTCCCCACCCAGAGGACAGACAGGATGGGTTCCATCCCTGGTCCTCCACACCCTGGCTACGTGGCCTTGGGAAAATGACCTACTCTCTCTGGCCTCAGTTTCTTCATCTCTAAATTGGACACAGTTATGTTCCCCTGTGGGACCCCAAGTCCATAGAGCAGGCACCCAGGACTTGCTGGCCAAGCTCCCCTCAGCTCTGATGTGCATCCTCAGCCTGGCAGGCGTGCCCTCCCCTCTACACCGCTGACACTTCTCTGAGCAACTCACAGATGATTTATACTTCAGAGGACGAATCAATACAATATACGGCCAAAGACATCTTTAATCTTTCACAGGGATTAGGCTACAAGGTACAGCGGCCTCTTTCTACAGGCCGCTCAATTCTGATTTCAATTTGGCCAGCCGGAGCATGGCTTTCTCTCTCCTTTTCTTTTCACCCACCTAAAGACGTTCCTCCAAATCAAATTTCATTTAGCAGGATGAGGGGAGACCTAGCTGCCCGAACACGAGGGCAGGCCCAGCCAGGGCCCTGGGGCTACAAGGGGAGACAGCAGGAGGGTCTGAGGATGTGGGAGGTCAGGCCAGGCAGGAGGTCGGGCCCTTGGCGACGGGATGGGGCACAGGGGTGTGTGACGGGCACCTGTGCCAGGCCAGGAGGGCCCCTGAGCCGCAGGCCCTGGCAGAACAGCTAGTTCTCTTATTTTTCTAGAATTCCTTTTTGAAAGTCTTGAGCAGACTTCGTATTTTCTAACTACCAAATGACTGATTGTATGCTTATGGAAAATTCAAACAGTAGTCTGAGTTTCAGCCAAAACACAACACCTAGACTTCACCCCAGTGGGATCTGTGTGTGTGCATGCACGCACGTGTATGTGACTGTCTGTCATGCCCCCATCCATGGGAAACAGAGGCAGAAGATGGAGTGATGAATACAAAAGCAGTTACGACGTCTGGTCCTGGAGCCAGACAGCCTGGGTTCAAATCCCTTCTCCACCTCTCACTTGCATGACCCGGTGCCAGCTATCATTTGGCCCCTCCAAGCCTCAGTTTCCTTCCCTATAAAAGAGGGGTGCCTACCTCATGGGGTAGGGAGGATCACCCAGGACAACAGGTGCTCGGCGTGTGCCAGGCACATAGGGAGAGCTTTGTGAGCACCAGGAGTGGCTTCCAGAACCTTACGGCAGGGACTGAACACAACCGAATATGAAAATTCTAGACCTTCTGTCCCTGCCCCCATCTAGCGCCTCTGTCCCCAAATCCTGCCGCCCACCTTAAAGAGACAGGCCGTGGGCTAGTGTGGGAAAGGATTCAAGCCACTGGGGACAGGCACCGCCAGAGCAGGGTGGGCAGGGCCAGACCAGAGAGAGGCACCCGTGTCTGAGCAAAGCAGGGAAGCACATGTGGGCAGCCAGAGGCAGGGGGCTGGGGCACCAGGGGCCTGATGCTACCAGGGGGCCCCCAGGGAGCTGCCGCCCACCTGCCTAGAGGTGAGAGCAGGGCCCATCTACCCCATGCCCCCCTCTGCCTGGCCAGCTGCCAGGGCAGGGAGTGGCCTGGAGCCACAGCCATCGGTCAGCGCCGCCCCACTTCCGTCCTCTCCACCAGGTTACAGGCACCCGAGCTGTGCTGGCTGTACAATTAAAGGGGCTTATCTGAGATTTATAGCAGGATTATGCCCGCAGGGTGTTACCAACGCCAGCCTCTGGATACTCTGTGGTCCTTAGGAAAAGCAATTAGAGTCCCGGGGTTATACGGGTATAAATATACAGATGCCATCCTCCAAGGTCGAGGGCGCCACAGTGAGCTATTTAGAGAAAGAGCCTTGGGAGAGGCCAGGGGCCCCTCTGCCAGGAGCTGGGTCTGTCAGGAGGGGGAAGAGCCTCTCTGCTTCCCCCACACCCCATCCTCTCTGAACTATCCCTCTTATCAAGGCTCACCCAACCCAGCTGGAGCCCTCAGCCCAGGGGCCTGACTGCTGATCCGGATCCCCACCACCACAGCCCCATGCAGGCCACCCTCCCTCAGCCGGGCCATGGGGCCATCGGAACCAAGTGGCCCAGGCTTCAGACTCGGCAGAGCGTTAACCCTTGCTGTGCCTGCCTCTTACTGCTTGCTGATGCCTAAAAGCTTTATCCCTGGAGCTTTTGAGGACAATTAAGGGAATGCAGCAAGCTTAATGGGGAGAAGGGTGCCCGGTGGTGAATGGGGGAGACCTCCAGGAGAGCACATCACCTTCGCAGGTCCTCACATCCCACCCAGGGGCACCTCCTTCCCTGCAGCCACAAGGAAGAAGCACAGCCCCGCCTGCCCCATGTAAGACACGGCCCCTTCTCTCACCCCACACCCCCCCCTCCACACACACAGCTCAATTCCTCAAACAATTCTTTCTCCAAGAACCTGCTGGCTGATCTCCCAGCTCCTGGGTCCCTGAGACCCGCCCCTAAACAAGACCACCTCCGTCCCCACCCCCTTCCCCTTCTCTCTCTGTCTGAGAACAGCAGCTGTCCCACTGGATCCCGCGCCGGGAATACTGGCGGTCCCTCTGTCCGCCTGGCCACGTCTGCAGAAGTCATTCCGTCCACCCCCTGCCCCCTGGGAGTCACCCAGCAGGCCGGCAAGGCCACAGACTGTGCCCCAGTGCTCCCGGGAGAGACTGAGGCCCACGAGGGAATGGCCTGGGGCAGGACCCAGAGAGTGGCTCTCAGGCGGCGCTTGGCCACTGTGCCCTGACATCCCCCTGTTCCCCGAGCATGACTCACCATCCTCCCGAGACTTCTGGATGAAGGCCTCCACGCCGCTCTCACCGTAGCTGCCCTCCGAGGCCAGCGTGGACACGTAGTTCCACTTGAGGGCGCGAACGATGTCCACCATGGCCTGGGCCTGGTATGTGTCCGAGGGCACCACTCGGGAGAAGAAGTCGTAGCGGCTGTTGTCACTCAGGTCGGGGGCTGTGGAGGCGTAGCTGATCTGGGGGATCTGGAGGCGAGAGGGGCCGCTGATGGGGGCTGCTGGCACCCCCACCATGCCCAGCCAGCACCACACCACTACTCACCACCTCCTTTCGTCCCCACCGCCTTGGGAAGGGTCAGGGCACTGCCTCCTCTTGTCTTGGGCGAGACCCTGTGATACGGGTTGGACCACACACACACACACACACACACACACACACACCCTGGAATCATACAGGATTACATACATAAACACACAGCAGAGCCTCTGGGTGCCTCCAGTTACATAAAGACTGAGAGTCCTTTCGCTCATCAACTCCCCCCAGGCAGCCGCTCGTGTCACCACCCAGCAGACCCTGTCCCCATGGCTCCTTTGTCCTGCCCACGTCAGAGAAGACAGGGCCCCACCACCCCACAGATAGAATTGCAGGAGGACAGAGTGAACAGGGACCCCGCCCCGGGGAAGTCCCTCTCTCTGCAGGCTGGGAATCAGGGCCCAACAGCAGACTCCTGCCCCAGCTCTCCACAGAGCACCTTTCCGCACCCACAGACCCCCACCTGGGCCCTCCCCAGGCAAAAGTGAGATGCAGAGCCCTTAAGCTGTCCTTCTTCCTGTGGTTGACATCCGACCATTCCCAAAGGACAAAAACCTCACAGCCAGCCTGTGGCAACTGAGAGTGGGGAATGTTCCGGGGGCAGCAGGATTTGGGGCACACCCTGGACAAGAGGTTGCCCACTTGGACTGTGCTTTGGGTGTCCCTATCCCCGGGGACACTGGAGGTCTGCCTTGCACTGAGGATGTCCATTAGGAAAAGAACATGGCCCAGCCTATGCCCTGTGATGCCCCCCCCAAGGCGGGCCCCAGCAAGCCCCTCATTGCCTCCCCTCACTGAGCTCATCCATGAAAAAGGAAAGGATGAGGTGGGAAAAACAGATGTTTGGTTGTCTGGATTTGCTGAGCAACTAAGGGTTAACCCCCAAGCCCTCTCATTGTAGTTCTTGTGATCTTTATAAGATGGCATATGCTACGTTAACCACTGTGGCGCTGTTTCTAATAGCAAGTCTCTGGAGGCTACGGCCACACAGGAATACTATTTGGCCGTGAAAAAGAACCAGGCAGCTTTCCATGCACTGCTCTGCACAGTTCTCCAAGACCCACAGAGGAAAGAAAGAAACGAGGCACAGTTCTGCGTGTGAACAGCATCCCCATTATCACGTGAGGGGGCAGGACAGACTCTCGCCGCCCTGAAACGAAACAGCTAAGTTGCCTCCAGAGAGGGAACCAGGTGGCTAGGGGACAGGGTTGGGAGGACACCTTCCCCCTCATACCCCGTGTATGTTTTGCATGTAGAATCATGCAAACATACCTCCCGCCTAGAATCTTCCCGAGCCGAAGCATCCGCCCCCTTTCCTACCTGTGTCAACAGCCTCTGAAAACTAGCCCGGTCCTCCTTGCCTTGGAGAGCACGGAGCACGAAAACAACACCCCCAAGAATGTGGACTCTGGCCAGATAGCTGATGGTTAATTGTAAACGTCTGTTATGTTTAAGGCCCGCTAAGGGTATCACAGCCGCAGGGGTTGGTTGGGTGTTTAAGAGTCTGTCATTCGGAGCAGTCTCCCAGCTTCAGCACTATTAATGCTTTGGGGGTATAATTCTTTGTTGGGGGGCTGTTCTGTGCACTGAGGGATGTTGAGCAGCAACCCCAACCTCTACCCACTAGATCCCAGAAGCCCCTGCCTTCCGCAGTTGCAACAACCAAAAACGTCTCTAGACGCAGCCAAGTGCCTCCCGGGGAGCAGAGCAGAACTGTCCCCAGTTGAGACCTGCGGTTTTAGAGATATGTACTGAAATATTGAAGGATGCAGGGATCTGAGGAGGTCTGGGGTTTGTTTCCAAAGCATCACAGTGAGAGCACATCCAAGAAGAGAGAATAATGGCCAAGAATGGACAGCTCTGAGTCACATGTACGTGGGGGCTCACCACCCTATTTGTTTTGAACATATCTGAAATGTCCATATTTAACCAATTTTTAACAATAAAACAAAACAGACAGCACCCCTGAATCATCCCCCTGAACAGAAGTGCCCTGAATTTGGAGCTGGAGCAGGTGGTGGGGACTGTGGGGCCAGGGCCTGCCCTACCAGCCTGCCGTCCCAGCAGGTCCCTGAGAGAAGACAGGTTGTCTGTCAGCTTCCGGGGTGTTTGTCAGCTTCCGCCTGGGCCTGGGCCTCAGCGAGGAGTGCTAATCACAGGCCCAGGAACCCGCTCTCTTCCTAATGAGAAGAAGCTTGTCTCCTGCTTCTGATGTTTCCACCCAACACAGCGCTTGTGTCAAAAGGGACTGCGCCCAGCAGAGGGGCACGAAGCCCAGGGAGGTCTCGGGGTCCCTCCCACAGGCAACTTCTCACTCATCCTTCATTCCTCCTTCCAAGCCACCTCCCCTCCGGTTCAGGCACTCTGCATGGGCAGGGACGGCAGCCAGACAGACGGACGTCCGGGGAGCAGGACCCAGGCCCCTATCCCACCACGAGCCCCCATTCCCACAAAGGGTGGGAGGGCCAAGCATGGGGTTCCCACAGGGTACATGTTAGTCAGCCTGCAGGGGTGCCCTGGTCTCGGATTTTGGGAGCCCAGGAGGGGCCCCTGATCTGCCCCCAACAATTCCTGAGACCCTGGAACAGGGATCCAGCCCTGAGGTGGCTGGGAGGGAGGGGACAGCTTCCTGAGCAGGGTCAGGGGATAATCCCTGGCCAGCTCCTCCTCCCCGTCTGAAGGCTCCTCAGTTCCAGGCCACCCGAGTTTCCTAGCGGGGTGGTTTCCGCAGAGATTTGGAAGCTAAACTGCTCAGGTTCAAATCCCAGCTCAGCCACCCACCAACTGGGAAGCCTCCAGCAAGTTGCTTCACCTCTCAGGCCTCAGTTTTCTCAGCTGCCAAATGGGAGGTCGTGAGGGTCACACGAGGGAATTTTCGGGAACTGCGGGCAGGCAGTAAGCACTCAAAAGGTTAGCCCAAAGGTGGGCTATGATCCCTCCCGCTACACCTCCCTTAGCCCTCTATCCCCATGCCCCCCCCCCTGGGTCCCTCCCCCAGCTCTCTCCCAGTGCTGTTACTACTGTGCTCCTGGCGGTGGGGGGCCTCCTCCTGGAATGCTGACCCGCAGGCTCTCCAAGGCCCTCCTCCCCCCTGGCCCCACCCAGGCCTGCAGTGCATGGGGAGACGCAGGGACCACCCCCCCCACCCCCCCACCCCCCCCCCCCCCCCACCCCCCCCCCCCCCATCACCGGACACCCGGGACAGGGTGACTGGGACAACCTGGCCCAAGGGCGCTCTGACTGATGCCTCCTCAGCTCTGTCTCAGCAGCACAGCTGAAGCCAGAGGGGCATTTGATTAACATTCTCCTCAGAGAAGTCCTCTCCTCTCCCAACAGCAGCACGACAGGGGAGGGGGCGGCCACGCCCCTGCCAATGCCAGCACAAGGGTCAGCCACAACCTGGATTCCAGCAGCCCCTGACCAACCACGGCTGGCCTACTCTCGGTCCATCTGCCTGGCTCCTTCTGCCCACAGGGCCCCTGTCACCTCTTCCAGGCAGCCCTCCCTGAGCTCCAGAGAGCCTGCTCAGACCTCCCCCAGCACAGAGTAGGGCTGCTCCAGGGGCACCAGGCACGTCCTCCTGGGGTGAGGATGCCTGGTCTTGTCAACTCAGCAGGCATTTTAAGATGCCCCCATCATGCTGGGCAGGGCTACTTGTGGAAATGCAGAGAAAAGTGGACTGCTCCCAACACCCACTGCACCCCTGGAAGGAGCAGGTGGGGGCACCCCAGAGTGACGCACAGTGTGTCTGGAGCTGGCACCCGGCAGAACCTCCCGCTTGCAGAAGGGATGAGTGACTGAGGGGAGAGAGGGAGGCGGTGAAAAAAATCTCTCTCTCCCTCTCTCTCTGTCTCTCTCTCTCTCTCTCTCTCTCTCTCTCTCTCTCAGGCTTCTAGAGTGACAAGGAGGTCCACGCTACGTGGGGAAAGACAAAAGCTGCTTCCGGGCTTGAGCAACAATGAAGATGAATGCCAAGTGCATCTGTCTGTGTGTGTGTGTATGTGCGCGTGTGCACCCACGTGTGCATGCACGTGCTGGGGCATGTGCCCCGAGCACACGAGCGCACAGTACATTCATTCATTCCTCCCACCAATAGTCACTGAGCACCGCCCGCCTGCCAGGCATAGTTCTGAGTGCTGGCGATGGACAGGTGGACAATCTGTCCTCGTGGGGCTCCCAGTCGAGACACAGGCAGGCAATGGAAAGGGGATACCAAGCTGTTAGACGGGAATAAGGGCCCATGAGAAAAAGGAAGAACAGGGCAGGGGACTGTTAGAGGGGCCAGAGGAAGTCTCTCTGATAAGGTGACATCTGAGCCAAGACCCCAAGGAGGTGAAGGAAGGAGCCATGTGGGTAATTGGAGGGAGGGCATTTCAGGCAGAGGGAAGAGCCAGTGCAAAGCCCCGTGCGCATATGTGTGCTGAGAGCCTGAACTTGCTCTCAGGCTGCCCCGGGGCCAGGTCAGCAGCCCCGCATACCTACCTACATGTGGCAAAACAGCCAGACACGCAGGCAGTGCCCCAGGGTGCCCACAGCGCAGACTCGGGGTCACTGGCTCCCAGTCTAGCAGAATCTAGGGACTCCCTGAGAGTGGCTGGTCCACGTCCCACACCGTCCAGAGGAGGAGAAGGGGGTAGGAGGTGGGACACCCCCAGCGCGTAACAGCCAACCAGAGCACAGTCCCCTGAAAGCCGATACTTCATTCAAGGCTGTTTATAGAACAGTCAGGGATGAAGCCTCTACCTTGACCTCAGCAAGGCCTGCAGCACCCTGAGTCACGTAGCCAGGGGCCCACGGCCATCACCATGGATACCCCAGGGCCACACCACAATAACCCCAACCCTCTTCCTGTGAGCTTTAGTGTTTAAAGGCACCTCCCCTTTCTGCCTCTTCCCTAATGCTTTGCGCAGCACAGCATCGGCTCCAGCTCAGG